TGTACAACAGGAGGTTCCTGTCCTTCCACAGGGTGCTCCCAGCGCAGGACAGAAACTGGGCGATAGGGTCCCCTGGTGTTTAGTGAGATGCCCATACAGCGCTGCTTCTCTGGTTAGTTGGTTGACGCTGGTCACCGCTTTGGAGAGCTGCTTCACCCTTTTCCATACCTCTTTGGCACAGGTGCAGAGCCAGAGGAGGTGGTCGATAGTCTCGGTAGCTCCATGGCAGTTGGGCCATGGGCAGCTGGGGCTCCCTAGCTGACCCTCTATGTCTCCCAGCCCTCAGTGGCAGAGCTCAGTGGGCTATGAGCTACTTCAGGTCCTTGTGATCTTTGCACAGGTCCTTGTGGTTGATGCGCTCCCACACGGCTTGGCATGCATTGCCCGGGAGCAGGTCCATGGGCGACGTGGTGTCCTTCAGCCTCACTATCTCCTGGATCTTCTTGTGGTTCATGAGGCCTGCACTCTGCAGGTCATACAAGCTATGCCACTGATTTAGGATCTCATAGAACCACCGTGAGCCCATGGTCTGTGGTTGGTTGGGGTGAACATCCCACAATGTCTCAGGATGTGCCCTGCAAAATATCTCACCAGACAAGTGGTTTTGGATTCTGCGTCCATCACCAGCTTGCAGATCAGGCTTGTATACTTGGCCCACAGGAACAGGAGGATGTCTGGCATGCCCCTGGCCCTCTTGTCCTTGTACAAGGTCTTCCAGGCAGCCTTTTCCCATCTGGAGCCCCAAAAGAAAATGCACATGGCCCTCTGGATCCCGTGGGTGACATACTTGGAAGTAGGGAAGACCAGTGCAGTGTACAAAAGCACTGGTAGCAACACCACCTTCACAAGCGCAATGAGCTACCCCATGGAAAGAGCATGCATGTGCCACAGCCCCAGTCTCTGCATTACCTTTGCCTTTGTCTTCTCCCACACTGTCCTGCTGCTCAGCTCAGAATCAAAATCTATCAAGGATCCTGACCTCCTCGCAGGGAACAAAGACCCCCAGGGACTCCAGGTCCCCGAGCTCGCCCACGGCAAAGCAGGTGCTTTTGCTCACATTGAGCTTGGCCCCCGCCACCACCTCGTATACCCATGTGTGCCACAGGGCTCCCTCTACCAACCACTTGTTCCAACACAGGATGTTCAAATCATCCATGTAGGCCAGGACCTCAACCTCTTGCTTGCTGCTACCCAGGATGTGGACTCCACAGATCCCTGGGTCCTGCCTCAGGCAGTGGACCAGGGGCTCAATGGCGCAGATGAACAGAATTGGGGAGAGTGGGCAGTTCCACCAGGCCCCCAGCTCCACCGCAATCTGGGCGCTCAGGAAACCGTTGATCTGCACTTCGCTGCTCACTTCGTTGGCTGGATCAGGACCTTCTACACAGAAGGTCAGGAGGACTCCCATCTGCTCCAGGGTATGGAACAGGGACCAGTGGGACACTGTCATAGGCCTTCTCCAGATCCAGGTGTAGGACTATGACACTGCCCTCTCTCCTTCTCCAGCTGGAGCATGTCTCAGTTGCACCAGGGCTCTGTGAATCTGGTGCCCTAGCACCCTGCATGACTGGTCCTCGTGGATAACTGCACCTAGGATGAATTTAAATCACTCGGCCAAGACTTTGGCCAGCAGCTTGTAATCGAAGTTCAGGAGGGTGATCGGCCTTCAGTTCTTCAACTCTTCCCTCAGACCCTTTTTGTACAGGAGGGTCATGAGGCCCCAGTCCATCCCCACCCCCAGCCAGCCCTCCTGCAGGTGCTCTTGAAAGAGCTCCAGCAGGTCTGGGCCGACCAGGTCTCAGAAAGTCTGGTAAAACTCCTTGGGCAGGCTGTCCGCCCCAGAAGTCTTACTGTTCTTGAACCTCCAGAGGGTCCTCTCAAGCTCCTCCTGCATCCAGTCCTCCTCCAGCTGCCACTGCTCATCCTCCCCAAGCGTTTGGGTGAGGCTTTGCAGGCACAGCTGCATGGCCTCTGGGTCCACCAGTTTCCCAGCATAGAGCTCCCGGTAGAAAGCAGCTGCTGTGGCCAGCATGCCATCCTTCAACCGGTGCTCTGCTCCCACACCATCTCTCAGGTATGTCATGGCCTCCTCCTTGCTCTTCTTCACTCTGGAGAAATAAGCAAACCACTCCTACTGCTCTTCTACCTAGTTGGACCTTCACCTACCACATGGCCTCCCTCATGTCCTGGCCCACTACCACCTGCCTGTGCAGGTCCTGTAAGTTACGGGTCCAGCACTCATGCCACTTCCGGTGGAAGAGGGCCCATCACTTGACCGCTCGCTGGAAAAAGCCCCTGGTCCTCTCTTTCATGCTGGCCCACCACACGGTCTGGTTCTGGTACAGGCCCCAGAGGGTCCTCCAGCCTGTGTAGTACTCTCTGTAGCTGCTCCTGGTCCGCTAGTCTTCCAGGAGACTGGTGTTCAGCTTCCACACTCCTCTTCCTCTTTCCAGCTGTCCCCCCAGGTCAGCCCGGAGGGTGAGGAGACAGTGGCCCAGGAAGCACATGGGTGTACAGCGGGCTCTCTCTGCCTTTCACCCCATGGGGAGGAAGACAAGGTTAATTCTGGACTTGGTGCTGCCTGCAGGGTCCACTTGGGTGAAGTGTCCCCTGGGTTCCTGGGCGCCTTTGGCTGCGTCCACCAGGCCGTGATCCCAGACAAGCTGCTTCAGCTGCTTGGAGGATCCATCCATGCCTGTCCCACTGACTCTGCTAACCCAGCCCTCCTTGCTGATGACGCAGAGCTGAATTCTCACCCGCTTTTGTCTCCAGAACCTCTTTGGGGACAAAGTCCTTTAGTCATCAGCCACTCCCCCCAGCTGTTGCCAGAAGTTCTGCCTAGTCCCAGGACTCCTGAAACCCACTGCCTAATCAGGAAGGGACTCACATTTCCAGATGTAGACGAGGTCCTCCTTCGCATGGAGCATCTCTCTCAGGATCATCCAGCTGAAATCCTCCCTCTTCATCCCATTTGGCAGGTATTGGTCTCTCTTGTCTGACCCTTTTACTCTGAAGCCAACTGGATAGGCCCTCATCTCCATACCAGGTGGTCTTCGTTGGGGGGGGGGGGGGGTGCAGTCCCCCTGGAGAAGGAGCCTTCCCCGCAATCTCGGCATAGGTCGCCACGTCCTGGTCTCCCAGGAATCCTCGGATGCCCGGAATCCAAAACCTGATATCGCTTTCCCTGCTGCTGTGGTGCAGGGGAAGACCGCACGGGTCCTCCGCTCTGTAGAGAATAGATCCTCCATGCTACACTTGATCTACTACACTTGATCTCAGCCTTCAAGAGGCCAAGGGATAAAGGGAGTGAACCTTGCAAGAGATTCCAATTGGTTTTCTGCCTGCAGAACTGCAGACAGGCTTCTTTACCCAGCTCTCTCACTGCTGAGCTTTTCTGAAAAAAATTCCCCCCAAATTATTTCTCCATCTTCCTCTTAATCCCCTTCACAAATCAAGAAATGCCTTCTGTTCACATGCAGGAGCCTTTTGTTCAGTCCCTGCAAGCCCAGCATCTTTTGGAGGTGCCCCAGGAAGTAGTGCCTTAGCAGGCCATGAGGAAGGGGTTAGGCCCCAGAGCCAAAAGGCAAAAGATCTGAAGTTGTGGTGGGAGAAAACTCCCTAAAGTTCATTATCTAGCTGCAATAGGGACCAGACAACGCGGGTAAAGAACTGACAGTCATTTATTTGCTCGAGCAAAGACCATAAAGCCAGCAAAAGGCAAAATGGCCCCCCCTCAAGGGTGGGGCGATCTTTTATACTTTTTACAATAAGGCAAGACTACAGGGTTAACAAAAAGCAATACTTGGGCGGTGCTTTACAAATCTTTGTAACAGCATATTTCTATTAAGCTGAACTAGCACTTTTTAAAAGCTAAAAGTTGGGTAACAGTAACATTATGATATGTTAGCAAAACCTTGCACAGTAGTAGATACTTCTTAAGGACACAATCACTGTACTTAGAACAATGGCTTCTTTGTCTTATCTTGTTCCTTGCTGTAGCTGATTTTACAGCACACAGACACAGATCCACTTGCTGCATTTTACTCAGAAAATGCTTAACACAGTTAAAATGATTACTTGACACAAACAAAGGCTTAGCTATCATTCTGCCTTGTGGTCAGCAGCATTGCTAGGCCACAGGTCATGCCTTGTATTCAGCTGCAAAGCTAATACTTCTTAATAATCCAAATTATTGTTAACCTAACAGTATGCTATCAGAAAACTATTCTATTTCAGGGTAATAACAAACATGCTCACTACAAAGTGAGGGCTGAAGGCCTTTTCATCAGCACATTGGAGGCCTCTGCCTTCTCCATGTAGTGTAGCTTTTATACACTCAGCCTAGTTAAGGTGGAGTCACCTCATACCTTTGGCCCTAGGCAGGAAAGATGCACTCTGTGGGTGGGGAAAGAGGTGCTGGCAATGGCTATTTAAACAACCATAGCAAGTGGGGGTGGGGGAATAAAAATAAACTTCTACATGTTGTGAAAATAATATCTAAAATCACTCCAGTGTGCTCATGTTTCCTGAAAAAAAAAAAAAAGGATGCCTCCTATAAGCTAGGAGCTCATGCCAGTATGATTTTTGCACAAGTCTGTCCCCTCTATCTGGAGTGGCTCTTGCCTCAGTTATGGACAAAGCCATCCATAAAGAACTCCTTAGCAGCCCTTCTGTTATTTCCCCAGTTGCTGAAGTCCTACACTGGAACAGTTCAGTGGTCCTTGCACTTGTCCTGACCTAAAGCATTCAGTCCTTCTACAAACAGACTGCTCCAAAGCCTTACTCCCATAACACACACTTGCCCTCCTCCACATGCTCAACCCATATAACTCGCTGAATAAAAGTGATCAATGAACCCTGTGGGTGAAACTTCCCCTGTCCTCATATCGTACCATCACTCATTCATCCTGCCGCAAGTCATATTTTGTTTTCAAGCTTTACCTGCTTTTACCCTGACGTCATATATGGAATAGAAAAGAGAACAGGAAAAAATGTACATTTTAAAGCCTTTATTAACAGGAAATACATATTAAAAGGCACTGAATCTAAAAGGTACCAAAGGTAATATTTGGATCAACTATTCTGCTTACTAAATGGTGGCAGTATTTTGGAATACTGCAAGTGGGGGATAACCCTTATTCATGAGTTGTACAAACTACTTTCTAACTAACTAGCACAACCAGCATTTTCAGCAAGAAGCAGAACCTTACATGCGGCTTTTCAAAGAAAGACCCAGGCTGGATACTTTGAGCATAGCAATTTTATACACCAATACAAATTACTGACAGTAACTAAGCGTGACATTTAAGAATAGCCATAATAGAGGAACAAAATAAATCATGGTATTTTCATTAAGTATGGGGTTTAGAATCACCTCAGTTTAATTGTTAATAGGACTGAAAACTAGTGGAGTTCAACTGGTGCTAAAAGCTTGAGGATTCTCTTCTCTCCTTGTAAGGTCAGCTTTCCTTGAACTTTCCTAATCAATTAGGTTAAAGCTAAATCAAAATAGCCTGTCTTTAGACTTACTGAGGAGTGTCCACACAAGAGTTGGGGGTTTGGGACTGGTTTTGCTGACTCAATTTTAATATCCAATTTAAACGAGACTGAAGCAACTTTTCTATGTAGACACCCGATGATTCCAACAGGATTTTAAATTCCTACTTCTCTCTTTTTACCCCTACCTTCTGTAATTTAATCTATGCAGCGGTGCCCAACCTTCCCCCCACTCCCTCCCCCCACTGCTCCATACCTCTGACCCCCCTCTATTGTTGCTGACTACTGAGGTTTCTCCCCCCTCCAATTTAATTATTCCTATTCTCCTCCAGGACTGTTCAGTTCTTATTTGTCCACTACAACCCTCTCCCCACTTTGAGTCTCCCCATCATGCTCTCTACCTGCTAAGCTCTACAGCCCTACACTACTTCCTTCAGGATCATGGATACTACTGGCAAACAGACTAAACAGTACTCAGGGTGCTGAGATTTGCTGTTCAACCATGAACACTTACTGCTATCCATGCATATGAAAATCCAGAGATCTGTTAGACCTCTAGGATTTAGGACACTAGATACTAATGACTTCACTTTGAGAACTGCCATGTCTAGACAAGTCCAATTGTAGTTAAGGGGTGTTCTGCATCTTTGAAAGCCAAGGCATTTTAAGAGGTTAAGACCATCAACATGGAAGGCAATCTGGCATCGGGATTAGGATGCCTGGGCCTTGTGAAACCCAGTGCACATTTCGTATCAAGGACACAATTTAAGCAAGCATCCTGCATCCCAGAGCCAGAAGGCAGGGAAGATTTTCTCTTCGTTGAATGAAGCAGACTTGAATGTGAAGATTGGGGTATTGCTATCAGTGTCATGGAAAACCACTTGCCCCTCTTCATAGTCCAGAGAGATCCGGACCTTCCTGGGGGCCTGGTCCAGGAGCAGGGGAGTCACAGGGGAGGTGAGAGCCCAGTACTGACCCTTGCACCACTGCACAGCCCAGATGCCTCCTTCAGGGTTAAAGTTGAACCCCACTTTCCTCCTCACAGACTCAAGGGCAACCCCCAATGTCCACCAGCACCTGTGACCCCTGATTTCCACCTCCCAGTGATGTCTCCCTGAAATGAACCCCTCGGAGCCAAGCACACAGGGAATAGGATCAAATCGCTCGGGTTTGTCAGGCAGATTTTGCACCACACGCTCCCATATTACACTTTTGTGATCTGTAGAAAATGTAAGGTGGGGGTTTGCTGTATCTGGATCCAAAGTCATGTTTACTGCAATAGGAAAAGAGAGAGAGAGAAAGAGAACAGCAGAGTGTTAGGAGAGGGCCTCAGCCCTTGTGAAGGCTGGGTTCATTCCTCACTCCCCACAGCATCCCTGTAGGGCTCAGTCCCGGGGAACTCTCCCCTTGCTGTGGCTGGGTAGGGATGTCACTGTAAGCACTTTCTTATCCTAGGCATGACAGGCATTTATACCTTTTGTCCTGTGACACCCCGGAGATCTGAGTCTGCTCCGCATGTCAGCCGATGCAAACTGTATCGCACCGTGTGCAATTGTATAAGTGGCAAAATGCGCACAGAAAATGGCGGTGATGCACTTTTGAACTAAAACAACTTCTATTCGTTTTAATTCAAAAGCGCGCCACCGCCATTTTCTCAGTGCCGACTCACATTTTGCCACTTAGACAACTAACTGTAAGCGACGCAGCACTGGGCACTTTTCAAAGCTCCTGGCACTTACTTGTGTAAAAATGCCCCTGTGTTCTCATTGCTGCTTGGTAGGACTGTCTTACCCCCAGAAGCAGAGCATGAATGCAGGAGCACACGAAATCAGGAAAGAAAGCAGAACTGGAGAAGAGAGATCACTAGACCTCAGTCCCTACAGGAAAGATACTGGGCCCCAGCTAGACTAGGGAGACTTATCCAAGCCCAGAAAGTGAGGACCAGGGGGTAGCTCTTCGAGAATAGAATTGGGTTTCATGACTTGAGAGGGCATGTCTACACATCGCCCAACAGTGATGTAGCAATGTAGCTGCAAGATCTAAGCATGCGCCGCCCACATGGCACAGTAACAGCTACCACTACGCCATGATTGAGTACCTCCAAAAGGAAGTACTGAAGCACAACGCCGTACCAATATTGCTGTATGGTGATACGTGCCTAAAGAGAGCTTCTTCAGGGCCCAAAAATGGAAAGAATAGACCCCCATCCCTACCAAGGGTAAAGAAGAAAGGGAGTGGTCAGACAGTGATCATGGAGAAGAGGACTGTCTGAGAGTGAAAAATTCACATTAAAAAGGTTCAGTAAGACTGACAAATGAAAGCTTTGTGGACACAATTAAAGAGCATCTGGGTGCTGGTTGGTGACAATTTCTCAGGTTGTCATTCTGTGTATGTGTGAATTGAGCATTAGAGTTGGTCTCAGAAAAAACGCATTAGTGGCTTCAGCTTGCAATAGCTCTAGGTAACACAGGCACACACAGAAAAATGTTGGTTCCAATTTAAAGCTTGTTTAAACTAGGAAAATATATTATGTTAGAAAAATGTGTTAACTAAAACCAGTAGATCTTTTCTGTTACATGGGGGGAAGGGGGCATTTAAAAGGGGAATGCCTCCCCAAAAACAAGCAGTTTTTTAAAAGCTACATGAAACACATGCCTGCCTCTTATCCCCCCTCTTCCCACCACTCTTTTTTAGTCCCATACATTTCCAGTGGGGGGAAATTTCTCCTCAAAATGATTTCTTTTTCTTTAAGCAAGAAGAAAAAGGAAAAAAAGAGAAGAAAAAAGGGGGAAGGTAACAGTTCTGAGGGGGGAAAAAAAAATCTTCCCCCCCTCACTGGAAATATATGGGATTTAAAAGAGTCATACAAATTTATATTCTCAATTATTAGCATTCCAAATTATCATCCCTATTTCTTTTTGGGTGGGACAGAAGAGGCAGCAAGATAGTATTTTTTCCCTTAATTTCTTTTATTCTTTGTCAATGTTTCCCCTCTTCTCACTCGAAACAGATAAATTAACAAAAGTCATGCACCCTTTCCCTGATATTTTGTTGTAGTATATAACTTTTCTGAAATGAAAATTATCTTCCTTCTGCTTTCTCTCCCTTTTTCCACTCTTCAACAATTCTGGAGTATCCAAATGGGAAAAAGTTATATGTACATTCCCATATTTTGGGGTTGAAGAGGAAGAAAGGCAAGAATCTGGCTTAAGTTTTCCCAATTTGTTTTAATTAAAAAATATTTGAAAAACTGATTTTCGTATCTTTTTTTGACCAAACACCATTTTCCCCCTACTAAAACACTCCATGTTAGCTAGGATCCAATAGTTATGGAGCATAACTGTTCCAAGCATGGATGCAGATTACTATGTTTAAATGCATCAATATTTGTAGTTAATCATAGAGAAGAGAAGAAAGGAATGGTCAAAAGAAGTGAACTAACAGCACAATCTTAATTAATTGGATGTTAACACCTTGTCAGCCAATGTAGTCATTTTTAAAAGAGCTAAAACATCCTATGGTTACCAATTAAACATGGACAGGTTTTCTAATGTAACCAACTGTATGAGAATTTCCCCAGGACAAGCAGCCACATGAAAAATTTACCTTTCTTATCTGGTCTAAGAGGTTTACTCCTTTCTTTCAACAGTTCAATTGACAAGGAATCTGGGGAAGAAGAAGAAAAAGAGGAGGAAAATAGAGGGAAATTCATAAAGAATGAGGCAATATCCTTTTATTACTTCAGGTCAGTACATTTTAAAATGAGAGGAAGGAATACCCAGGGGTCTTTGAAATAAAAATTGTTCATAACATTTCTATTTCTAAATCACATTTCAAAGCAGTAGTATAAACTGGGGTGAGTGAGTGGGGTATGTGCCCTGGGCATGGCTTAAGGGGGAGGGGCACCTCACCCTCCCCTTCCTGGCTCCACTTGCACTTCCAGGCTATGCACTGTAGCAGCGCAGGCAATGTATCATGGAGCACAAGTGTTTTGGGAATCAGTTTTCCAGAGTGACAGTGGAGATTGCCAATACTGGGGTGCTAATACTAGGGTGGGGTAGTGGCAAAAGAAGTTGCTCTAATTTTTATGCTGCATGCAGCCAATTTTTCTGCTCTCCCAACATGGGGTGAAAGTTCCCTTCCCAGCTGCAGCAACTCCATTACCACTTGAGAGAACGACAATTCCCAGAACACCTTGCACTCCATGGACACATTGCCTACACTGCTGCTCCTGCATGTTGCCTAGTCCAGGCACAAGGGCAAAAAAACAGCATGTTGTGCCTCCATTTCAAAGTAACTCTGGCCATTTTCACCATAGCCACTAAACAGAATGACTAGTCCTTAAGATACAGTAAAATCCCTGTTATCTGGCATGAGTGGGGAATGAGGGGTGCCAGATATCTAAAAAATGTTGGTTACCTGAGGAGTGTGGGTTTCCATCCAGATGTGGAGCATGGAGGGCAGAGGAGGAGAGAGTGGCGGCAGCTGAATGTGGAGCAGGGTGCGGGGGCTAGCAGCAGCCATACACTGAGCAACAACCTCACAGGGTGGTAGGTGGCGGTTGCAGCCACCGCGTGCGAGCTTTCCCCGCCCTGCGTCCAACTGGCCAGCAATTCCAGTTAGTAGAGTGCTGGATAACAGGGATTTTATTATACTTAACATCCCAGTTATGAAGGCATGGAAACCAAGGGGCAGATCACAAAGAGGGGCTTGGGCATGGAAACACTAGTGGTGAGATCCTATTTCACTTATGGGCCCTAATGACAGTTACACAGCCACATAAGTGCTGTTTTTGCCACTTGGGAGCAGTTTGCAATTCAGTTCTATGGATGTAGGACAGACATACAACCATAAACACAGCTACTGAGCATGCTCAATGGGGCTTTTTACACAGATAATGCTCAGGTATACTTGCCCGGCTATGTGCTTAAGCCCAGGTAAGCCCCTAAATTGTAGCAAGGTAAAAAAAAAAAAAAAAAAGCCATGATAGCAGGTGTTCAGTGTAGGCAAATGAGGAAAAGCAGTGGATATTAGATGACAGGTTGCGGACCAGTAGCTTAGTGGTTAAAGCACTTGCCCAGGAAGTAAAAGACCTGGGTTCCATGCTCCATTTCCTTCTGCCTCACCCCGTGGGGATTAGCACGTAGCAGCCAATAATGAACTAACTGGCTTGAGCCCTTCTAATGCCAGAGCCAGGGATAGCTTGTCTACACTGCCCCCTGTGCGGAGACCAGGACTGCTGGTGAAGAGCAGGCCTCATGCAACCACCCAAGTTTAGCATGAACTAAGTCTCAGAAAATGAGGCACTGCAGCCAGCCTGGTGTGGTCCTGTGTGCATGTCCCTGTGCCCTTGTCAGACAGTCTTGGGCATACACTTATGGATACACTAAGGCACCACACATTTTTTGCAAATTTGTCCCACCCTGTCACTCCTACTCGATGTACCATGCTCTTTGGTAGTGCCCCCAGACACAACAGGGAAGTGGTGGAGGCATGCCCAAAGCCACCCCAGTTCTCTCTCCTTGGTACCTTTGAATATCCTAAGAGTCTTCTTTACTGCAGTCCTTTGCTGACAAAAGGAGTTGAGGTTCTTTTCCAACTCAGGAAAATAAATGATTGGCTGAAGAAATTTCCCCTTCTTTTCACACCTAGAAAGAAACAGTTTATTTAGGAAACCATGTTCTCACTCTAGTAAAAGTTACTAGACTAGGGGGCACAGAGACTGCATTTATGCAGACTCCTGACACAGAAGACTTCAGCACAGGTGGGGAAAGTGCAAGGAGTTACCCTCGATGTCTCATCCAGCAATACGTTTGAATTTTTTACTTGGAGCTACTTCTTCAGAGTTGTTTCCATGAGCAGTACAGTACCTGACTTACCTACCATCACAGCCAATATGATCAATTGCTTTTGGAAGACTGCATTATGTATCCACTAGGCAATGAAATAGAGACCATTGGTATGTACAATTTATTTCACACCCATCTGCAAACTGCCGGGGAGGAAGATTTGTCATAATTACCAACCTGAGAAGAATAGTCACCAGGAGGTGGCAGGCCCAAGTTTCCCCGTCAAAATCTTCAGGCAGCTACTTCCCACTCCCTCTCCCTGACCCAGGATGCAAGGGGGAAGGGGTGGGAAGAAGAGTTATTTTTGGCAGTAATCCTTCCTTAAAAAGTTATATTCCAAATCCCCAACCTTGTTCCCAGGACAATAAGGTTTGAGGATGGGAGGAGGATTTACATACCTGTTCAGTGTGCTTCTGATGTCCTAGAGGGAAGAGAAAGGAAAAAACCAAAACAGAGGCAGCTCAGTCCCAGAGGCCACACACTGGGGATCCCTCCTGCTTGGGAGAAGGGTCAGGGGGGGAAGTGGTCATTTGCACCTGACAGCTTTTCCAATTACATTCCATTCTTTCCCCATGCCTAATCATACAAAAGTCCTCCCTTTCTTGTGTTGGCTTCTGGGGTGTCTCTAACACTGCCTCACCTGCAGGAACTCAGTCCCTGGCTGCTGGCACTTCCCTTCCATCTCACTGATCATCTGGCTTAGAAATGATATCTTCCTGGAGAGCTTGTTGACATTTTCCTTCTGCCTCTTCAAAATCTCTTTATCCAGCTCTTCAAGCTGGGCCAAGGCAAGTTGCTCTTCTTCTTCCAGAAATTGATGCAGTTGCTGAAAATCAGACGTAAGCTTCTGCTTCTCCATTTGCTTCTTTTTCTGGCACCATCACATACAAATAGGGAAAGGTCAGGTTAGAACCCTGGAAAGTATCACCGAGTACTCCACAGTGCAAGATGGACCAGATCCATTTCCAACTGTTAGGTAACAGTGGACTCAGGCACCTAAATGAAATTCTTTCCACCCTGCTCTAGTGCCTGCAAAACAGTTAACACAAAAAAGATGGGTGGGTTATCCTCTTCCTCATTGCTCTTTTGGACTCAAATCTTAAAGCCCAGATGATGGTCTTTTATGAAAGTAAATGCATAGTCCATTTGATCTCTAATTTGGCCCTACACATCCAGTAAGAGGCATGATGTCACAACTAAGACTACCAGGGCTGAACATTCCTCCTGATCACCAGTGAAAAAAATGCTCTGACAACTTACCCTCGTGACACAAGTGATCTTTGATCATATAGATTCAAGGTAACAAGAGGCAAGGCTCGGGGCTCTTGTTGTCAGGAGAGAAACTATCAAATACTGCAAGACAGCCTGCAAACTGTTGCAGTTGTATTTGCCTTTCATGATATTCCCAACCACTCAGGCATAGAAGGTGAAAATCTTATCTGTACTGACATCAGTGGAAGTTTTTCATGGTGTCAGGATTTCACCGAGTCAGACAGGTACACAGTGTCACACAAAGAAGGAAGTGTCCACACTAAAGAAAGCCTCACAGGAGCAGATGCACACAGATTTTCCAAGCCCTGTTCATGTCTGCTGGATGCCCAAGAGGAGTGAGCAGAACACACTCGGAAATGGTAGGCCTTCATTTTGAATGGGCAATGCCAATGTCACTAGTCACTGCCACACCAGTGGTCTAAGGCTGCTGGGGGGGGAATGTGGAAGAATCTTTCCCAAAATAGGGAAGCCAGTTTGGTGGGACAATATAAATCTCCTACCTCCCAAGCTGCTAGAAGGGGTATATGTTGGGATTCTGAGTCAGGTGGGTCCCTGGTTAGTTTACAGTGGACTCCAGTATTTCTATTAGTCTCCAATTGGTAGACATAGGATAAACTAAAGCCTCTTAACCCTACCTGAATGCTGCATGCTTTTACCTCCCACCCCAGGTAGAACTGGCAAGAGGACCAGTTGAGGGGGATAGGAGACGAGCACAGCTTCCTTCAGCTCAGACTCTGCTCTTAAATATGAGCTTCTCTCTCCTTCTCTTTTCCTCTCCCTACCTCTGAATGTACCTTTCTCTTTTTCAGTAAGTCGCTCCAGCACTGCCTCTTACTGCTGCAAAGATCTTGGCAAAAACAGAGGCCAAGTGAGATGAAAACTGTTGCTCTATTCTCTGCGTAAGAATCAGAAGCTGTTCAGTCTCGCGTACCTCAGCAAGCTCCGAGCAGCAGCATAGACATGGAGATGTCCGTTTATGGACACGGGCACATATAGCACCATGTTGCTACATTCTGCAAAAACAAACCAAAATAAGGGTTTTTTTCTGGACATGGCTGGTAATAGTGGGAAGATGTAGTACACTTTGGGAGGTGTGATAAGAGGCGGTGCAAAAGATGGAGCTTAATCTGATAAAGAAGGGAAGCAGAAGGTGGGAGGGGAGCCTGCACAATAAACTGAGGGCTGGAGAGGCAGCATATTTACCTAATGGAAAAGCCCACTCCCCCTGAAAGTTAATAATAACTGGCACCCACCAGATATTCTTCATTTTTCCTGTCCCCTGACTCTTTAAATTCCAGGAGTTTCTCTCTTTCTTTCTTCAGAGCCCTCACATTGTCTTCGACTTTTTCCTAAGGGAAGAACAGTATTGATGATGTGGGTGTTTGCTATTCTGGGATGGGCAAGTTATTTCTCTCTCTTCCTCATTGAAAGGTCTTGGTTTCATCCCAATAAAGAACAAGACATATTTTGAAATCATGGACTTGCTTAAGGGCTGGGAATGCCATTTGCATCTTAGCTCCTTTAGGATTGCCCAGGATGTAATACAACTAAGCTTTTCATTTATCCTGGGAGAGGAGGTATAAGCAACAGGAAAGCAGGTCAGAAAGAGGGCCATATTTTTGTTTGCTTGCCACACCCATAAAAAAAAAAAAAAAAAAAAAAAAGTTTTCCCCCAGCCCCCCATGGTAAAACTGAAAGTGAGGAAACAAAACAAAACACCAACAAAAAAGGTAGGCAAACAGACAGCCCCACATACTTATCAATTTTTAGGAGCATCAACACTGGTTAAAAAAAAAAAAAACAAAAAACAAACAAACCAAGACTTAGAAAACAGATGAAAGGAAGAAGGAGGGAACATTAAAGAAAGAAAAAATAAAATAAAATCAGACTTTCTTTGCAAAAACAAAGAAAAATAAGGGTTTTTTTCTGGACACCCTTGAACTCCTACCAATGTCAGTTTTATAGTTGTGTCTCAAATACTGTACTCTGTAGTACAAGAATATAAAGGGAAGCTGCCTCTGGACTGCACACCAAATGCCTGCCCTGTCCCAACTCTCGTCTTCTGCTGCAGTGACTCTTCCTCCTGATCTACAAGTCTGTTCTTCACTGGTAAATTATCCACATCTCGTCTCCCTCTTACACGTGCTAACATTCCTGAGATACAAAGCTGTCTTGCACTGTAATGTGATAAGAAACACTTTAAAAGGGTGTGGGGAGGAGGTATTAGCCAAGAGCAGCCGCTTACATTTTTGTTACAATAGCAGCAACAATACAAAAAGTCATCTACTGCAGTTGGCTATTTCCAGACAGAGGACCACTTTTTAAACATCTGTGCCTAGGAAGTGATGCCAGACCTGAGACTTCTTACCTTATAAGCCTGGGCAGCCTCCTTTACAGGAATCACAGAATGAGTCCTATGGTCCCTGGACCTGTCACACACAACGCAGATACATTTTAGATCCTCCTGGCAGAACAGTTTCAAAGGTTCTTCATGTTCACCACATACGTGCTCTGTTCCTGCTTTTTTCCCCTGCCTCTTTAGTTTTTTAGCTATTTCTACAAAATTCATCAACTGCCTGTTCTTCTTAAAGATTTTCTGTGGAAAGCACTCTCTGCATTGTGGGCAGGAGACATCTTTATTTGTTCCTTCCCAACAGCGGGCAATGCAGACTTGACAGAAATTGTGCCCACAACCTATAGTGACTGGGTCTTTGAAATAATCCAGGCAGATGGAACAAGATGCCTCATCCTGCAGGCTCTCGACAGGATTCTCTGCGGCCATGGCTCCTCAGGGGATGTGTGGCAACTTAAGTTTCGTTTCTCAGAGCTCTGGAATCAGCTCTCTTTGCAGCAGGAAGTGGGTGTTGCCATTTGACTTGTGAAGCTCCCTGCCCTGAAATTGATCTGTTGAAAAAAAATGTCATGTTTCTGTTTACTAGTCTCACACGGAAGACACGGATAAATTGGAATTGTTGATCAGCTACTTATGGGGGAATGAAACCCAACAGGATCTGGCCATTACTTCAGATAATCTATATACAGCCTGAAAACATTCTGTTATCCAAGACCAGACATAATCCAGTTTATGTCCAGCCAGCCTCGATAATCACACCTTACATCAGGGGTTCTCAATCTTTTTAGACTCAAGCCACCCCTCCATAAATTTTGTGAATTGAGCAGCACCTCGTTTCAAAAACAAACCTAATTTATTACTGGCCTTACCACCTTGCAGATGGAGCAGCTAGGAAAGGAAAGCCCTTATCTGCCTATCTCCTCCCACCTGAAGCCTGAGCCTGCCTTTATCTGCTTATCTTCTCACACTTCTTGGGGCACCCTTCACTATATCTCACTGCACCCTGGAGTGCCCCAACACCCAGGTTGAGGATCACTGCCTTACAATATACCACGGCTATAAAACCACAGCTATAAAACAGATCCCTGAAACATGGAAGATACCAGAGTTTAGCTGTTTTTGGAATTAATAACTTCATTGCTAAACAAGAAAGAAAGATTGACACCTCCCTACCTTTCAGCCATCTGACACCACCAGGGAAGAGAAATTGCCTTATTTGCACATCAAAGAGCAACTCACACAAAAAGGGACTCCCAGGGACCCAGAGGAACATACATCCACCTTCAGCTTCCTCTGTGCAAAATGAAGCTTATTTTCTACCTAAGGGGACTCGTACCATCTTTAATTGCCTCTCAGCCTGAAGAAGGATGCGTGTGCCTGAAAGCTTGCAAAGAAAGATTTGCTATTTTCTAGTTGGTCTAATAAAAAGGTATCACCTCTGAACCAAGAGTTTAAGTTTTGTATTCCTCTTTGCCTTACAGGATAAAATGTTTCCAGCTATTTAGGTGGTCTCATAAAAGATATCACATTTATCCAAAGAACTTGGTTTTGCAGTATCAAAGATATTTACTTGTTAAATTGATATGCCCACCCCTCCCCAAAAACTCAGGACAATTTAGAATAAAGGGAATACAGAAGCTGAACAAATTCTACATTAAAAACAACTTCCCCACCCCAAAAAGTTTCCAAAGCAATTGAAAAAGTTCAAAAGCAATCTATCCCACAACACTCACCCCTTTGTTTCTGGCCTGGCAAAGCACCACCCCCTCCCCTCAGCTTCCCAATCCACATTCAATACCTCTGAAGGGAATACAACTCCCCTCCACCACTCAGGTCCTCTCCCATCCCTGCTCATACACACCCCCCCCTTATTGCCCCTTCCACACTATGCCTCCCTCTCTCAAACAAGCTGGGGGGGCACAGCTGTCTTTAACCATTCATAATCTCCTTCCCTACAGCAGGCATACATTGCACAAAATGCAATCACCAAAAGACACACTCTAACAACATCCACCCCAGAGCAGCCTGCAGTCCCTTTTAAAGCCCCAGGATGGCTGGGACCTCCCCCTACAACCCTACTTATCTGGCTGCATGCACCTGCTTAGCCTCCCAGCCCTTCTCTCACTCCAGGTTTAGCTCCAAGAAGCAGAGTGGGGAGTTACCAGATTTGCCCATCACTTTGGGGTGTGCTCATTTATTAGCGGTATGTCTCTGGGGCCTCTGTAATTCTGGCAATGTGCTGCTTGAGTTACTTGTGTTTCTATATGGAGCTGTATCTCTCCCTTCTGCAAGTTCTCGCTCTCAATGGAGCTATTTTGCAGGACTCAGTTTCAATGGAGCTGGGTTCCTCCAGCCACCAAATCAATCAAACACCTACACAGACAGATTAATAGAGCACATCTGAGCTGGCTGGGTCAATCAACACGTACAGGCTTACACCCTTATATGCCGTGGATTCAGTTAGTCAGGGCAACAATAAAAATGCAGTCAGACAGAAGCACACAGATTAACGAAATACCTCTGAATCAGACTAGGTGTCCAGTTAACACCCTCATGAGCCAGCATTCAGTTCATTAGGGCACATCTGAGCCAAACTGGGTCAAATCAGCCTATATAGGCTGATCCCCTTGTGTCTCTCAAACTCACCACATCCCAATCTTTTTCCTAACTGTCCTAGTAGTGGTAGCTTCTTGATGAGCAGACCCCCACAGTATTTTTGGGCATTACAGGGATCTTTGGCTTAGGTAAAAGAACCATTGCTTAGGTTAAAGAAGTGGTGCTGCAGAGCAAGTGGGGAAGGGGAATTCTTTATTTATTGCTAAGTATATGACATTTATGTTGGTACTAGCAGTAATAGCCATGCAAGGAAAACAAACAAAAACAACTACTCAACTGAACCAGGGTAATATTGTATCTGAGGAAACCTAGCTCAAGCTTAACTAATAACATTCAGGTGCAGAAAGCTATGCCTAGAGAGAAAGAGAGGGAAGGAAGAAGAGAGCTGGGATCTCATCATTCCAAGTCACTCAGGTGTTTTGTTGACAAGCAAAGTTCCTAGCACAATGGAAGTGGGTGTTTGGAAATGAAAAGCTTTATTTCATTTCAAATAAATATCAAAATATTTAATTTTAGCTAAAAATTACAACATATTATATGTTTATCACAGTGATATCAGAAAGCTACTGTGATATCCCAGCCAGTAGTCAGTCCAATAAAATATACTACCCACAAGTATTCCTTGTCTCTAACATTAACTATTTGATTCCTGAGCATTTTAGCTGATGGAGTGGCTGAGGGGTAGGAATGAAATTGTTAGGGGTGAGAAAAAAAAAGTTGCTCCTAGGAACTTTTATCACCTTTCATTAACATATCTGATCAACATATCCCATAGACTGAGTTGGTATATGCCAAGTTCAGTTCATTTAAGTTAGTAACAAGGCCCACATTCTACAGGCCTATGTTGATAATGCTAGAACATAAGCTGCTTTCTCACACTGATAGCACAAGAACATCATGTGGAAGTGAGCCCAAGGCTATAGCTGACAATGCAGATACAAAAATGCAAAAGAAAAGTTCAAATAATACTGTAATTCATCACTCAAGCAGGTTCAACTAAATCTAAATCTAGCAAGCTACCCGAACACCTCCTAGTGGATATAACCACACATTGGACTACTACGTGGACTGTTTCAAGAAGAAAGCAACAGCAACATTCTCAACAAAAGCCAGGGCTACGACAGCCTCTCCACCTTATAGAAAAAAGCCATCTCAGATTCCCTAAGATCCAACAACAAAATGGTAATCAAACCAACAGACAAAGTCATCCTCAGCCATCATGATTATATCAGTGAAACCAACAGACAACTTTCTAACACAAAATACCATAAAGAACTTGGGGAGAACCCCACACCAGAATTCACTCGGGAACTGAAACATATCATCAAAGCCTTCCCATGCCAGCTCCAGGAAAAAAACTTCTTTATTTATTGCCACTCTCTCACCCCAGAAACTTTCTGTATTCTTCCAAAGATCTAAAAACAAGGTAACCCTGCCAGGCCCATCATATTCAGCTGTGATACCCTCACTGAATCAGGATTGATATAAACCAGGGGTGGGCAAAATGGCTGATCCGGCTGGCAGCCAGACTCCATTTCCCAGCAGTCCCTGCCTGCATGGCTGGGGCCGGTCTCCATGGAGACCCAAGCTGCATCTGCTGTGAAAGCTCAAGGCTGGAGTTGCCATGGAGACCAGCCTCAGCCATGCTGGCAGGGTGCACAGCAGAGCAGAGCAGGGAGCTGCTCAAGAACCGCTGGGATCTTGCAATGGGGGTAGATTGCTCCAGAACCAGAGCAGAGCCATGATCTTTAGCCTGCATGGTCTGTGCAGGGGTGTGCAAGAAGGGGATCGTGGCTCTGCCCCTGCTCCAGACCAGGCTGTCACTGCTGCAAACACAAGTACAATCTTGCTGCAAAGTTTTTTCGTGTGCAGCAAAGCACATGTAGATGCTGACAGGGCTGGCTGGGGCATGAGAGTGCTTCAGTGCGGGGTCTGTCTACCAGCTAGCCCTGCATTGGAGTACTCTTGTGCCCCAGCCAGCCCCTCTGCATCACACTGAGCCCAGTCAGAGCAGCCCCAAGCTGGAAGGCTGACCCCGCAGGTAACCTGCCAGCTGGGGCTGCTCTGATGTGGCTCAACATGCTGCGGTTCCAGGCGTATATTCAAATAGTGTGCCCAGGAGCAATGAACTCCAGTGCAAACTGTGCCAGAGTTTATTGCTTCAAATTAATTGCATGTGTAGATAAGCCCAGTGAGCAGCAATGCTACTTACTAGCAGTTCCTGGGTTTTCTTTTGCCCATTCTTTTCCAAAGCCAGAATCTCATCTGTCTTCCTTCAAAATCTCCAAGTTACTTTGGATTTGGATCTAAGAGAAAACAAAATTATTTTTGCTTTGGGTGCATATTAAACTCCTTTTACTGTGTGTATTTTCAGAGTTATACCACACCAATAAAAAACAGTTTTTTAGACATTAACAAGTCGGTAAAAAAGAAGCTGACTCAGTGATAGGTGCCTAATGAAATCTACAGTGAAAAAAAAATCCAAAGTAAAAAGAATTAAAAAAATAGTTCACAAAACATATAAGCTGATCTATTGACAACAGTGTTGAAGACTCGTCCATATCCATTTCTGTAACTATAGTTAACTGAGATACAAAGCTTCTCATATTTCAATACTAATTAATGTAACATCACTTTCCTAAACAAGACATCCTTTCTTGTAGTTTGAGACAAGTTGTCTCCAAATAATAAAAGTAAGAATATTTCTTTTAATCAACAGCCACACAGGTTTTTGAAGAAAATGGAATTTAAAGACAGGAGTGGGGTAAGAAATTTCCTTCTATATGCGAGTAGATTTTGCAAAATCAGGCAAATTATGCATTTGCAAATTCTCTTCTTGATTCTAGACTTCCTTTATGCACCTGTAACACAGGTGTCCCCAAAGTAAGTGTCCCCCCTCACCAATAGAAGGGGAAAGCCAGCAGGGCATATATTCTGGGGGTGGAAACTGCAGTCTACTCACAGTTCCCTCCCAACTATCATGTCTCAATAGAGGAGGAACAAAAAGCAATGTCTTAACCAGGTACAAATTTAATATATGTATATATAAAAAGGTAGTGAACTAAAGTGAGGATTTACAGATTACAAGTAAATATAATTATAACTATATACATACCCAAAAGTAAACAGGTAAACATAAGGGTCCCAAATGGTATGAGCAGGTAAGTACAACAATAAATGGCACTCTAATATGAGGTGTACAGTTAACAGTTAATAAACACTCCAAAAATGCACAGCGTGTATCAAATAATCAATAAACACTCCAAAATATGAGATACAAGAGTTCTCTAGTGGTTCCTCTCCTCTAGGGGGTCTGTCTCTTCCTCCTGCCTCTTTACTGAGGCTACTTTTCCCCAAGTGTCTCCCCAGTGGGAGACCCGTTGCCCCACTGACTCCCGTGTCACAAGGAGCTAGGTGGGGCAGTGTTCATAAGCTCCCTGGCCTGGCTAATGTTTCTCCAAGGGAGAGCTCAGTTCCAGCCCTCAGGGGAGCGGCGTGACTTGCTCACGTGTCCCAGTGGCTCAATCCTTTTCAGGAGGAGTTGCGGGCCTGGGCTGTCATGCATGCCCAGGGCTGTGCCGCTCTGAATACTGCTCCCCACGCTCAGGAACAGCTCTGTTCCCAGGGCTCTTGCGGACCTACTGCAGGGGATGGGTTCCAGACCACTCGGCCCCTCCTTCTCCAGGGAATTACACCCCACAGTGACTCTCCTCGTGGTAGCACTGGCTCCCGTGACCGGCCTCACACCATGGTTAGAGACCTGAGCCGCCTTGCTGTGGCTCCCAGGATCCCAGTCCCTCGTGGACCCTCCATGCAGCAACAATTGCACTGCAGCCCAGCCTCATGCCAAGGTTGGAGACCCAAGCCACCTCACTGCAGCTTCCAGGGTCCCAGTCCCTCGTGGACCCTCCGTGCAGCGACGCCTGCACCGCCCACTGCTTCTGTCCAGTGGCAGAATCTTTCAGGCTCTTCTGGGCAGCTGGATAGGCCCACTGGGCAGCTCTCCCAGCTCTTCTTGGCCCAGGACCTCTTCTTTCTTTGTCCCTCACTGACTGCGCGGCATGCTTAGCACATGGCTACTTATACCCCCTTCTGGGGCTCCACCCCCAGATTGAAAATGAACCAGTCAGAGGGCTGCAACTGCAGTTCCCAATTAAGTCCGCTCCTGCCCCCACTTTGGAGTAGAGACGAAGTGGACTCTCCTCCTAGCTCCTCCCTTGCCTGTCTCTAATTGGTGGGTTTTGCCCCATCAATCGCATTTGTGGTCTCCTAAGCCTGAAAAGCCCGGCAAGCCCGCCACACACCTTTCCATAATCTATAAAAAATCAGGAAATTTATCTTCA